GTGTGTGTGTGTGTGTGTGTGTGTGTGCTCTGTGATGAGAAGGATCAGCTTGGAGACACAGAGGAGGAGCTGGTCCCAAAAGGAGGTTCTAGTCCCAACCGGTTTCTGCTCCCCTGCCTGTTGCCTCAGGACACTACAGGATTTCTCAAACATGCATGAATGAGTCAAAGTAAGACTCTGGGCATGTTTTTGATGAGAGGATAATATTATAACATGATATAAAACTCAAAAGTTGATTTTACATGATACTGCCCCTTTAAAAAAGAAACATTTATTAACAAAACAAACAAAACATATAACAATGGATAACAAACAATGTAGAAAAAAACTAACAGTTTTAAGTTAAGATTGTTTTTTTTATATTGGCAAGAAAGAAGATAAACATAAATTTCGACCTAAAATGTCAGTCGACCTCATATAAAAAGTTACATTTTCTTTGTTCCCCATTTGTGGCGCCCCTTAGACCAACAGCACCCTCAGCCCTTGCCTACACTGCCTACGCCACGGGCTGGCCCGGTTACAACAATTTTAGTGATGGTTAAGATTAATTATCTGTGGTTGTTGTCTTGAATTGGGTGCACTCTAAAAGGTAAATAGTCATAGATTAGTTATCTAATGATTACGGTCTGTTTGATCCATCTAGTGATTCAAGAGATATTTTGCTAACAGACGATGTTTATCCCAAAGTTTAAAGCAAACGTTTGCAACCACACCACATTTTAGCTCAATATCTGTAAATCCAATAAAGCTGTGGTCTTTTTCATGTTGGATCATTTCAGTTTTCTACAGTGGCCATCTTGAATTGAGTCAACTCCAAGCTGAAGATGTTTATTCAACAAACGCTTCTTGGGAGTTTCATTAAAATCGGCTCATTACTTCATGAGATATTTTGCTAACAGACACACATGGCATGGCCCTTTTGCTTTTGCCAGCAGGTGATAAAAATCTGTTAAAGAACTTGGCAGCAAACATTATTTCCACATATAAATAAAACCTTAARGTGTCACAGACTTATTGTGACTATTCTGACAGAAAATCCAATAATCTTTCAGAAGGGATTAGAWGTGAGTAACTCTTTCCTCAGACAGGAAATGTGGAATGACGATACGGGTTGAAACGGAGCCATCTGACTGCCTGAATCTTTGTTTGCTCTGTATGAGAATTCAAAATAGCCCTATAGTCTCCCTCCATTTGCCTTTACTTTGTGCCTGGCTCCAGCCCAAGCACTTATACTTCTCTTTCTCCATATGCCGCCTCACAAACACAAACACACACAGACACACACTCCCCGCCATGCGCAACCCAGGAGAGAAAATTAGCCTGGTGATATGTGTAAATGGAGGTCAACAGGAAGTTTGTGCAGCCTGAGCCAACACTGATTTCTCTGTATCGAGCCGAGGCGTGACTGTAATACCAAATCCCAGCAGGTTTTAAAAATGCAAAGTCAAAGAAAATGATCTCATCACGACATAAACACACACCTCCATGTCCAGGCCCTCCCGGCTGCCCGTCCCGTCAGTCATCAGGAACTCACCTGGCGCAGGGCGGCAGGCTCTCACCCTCAGGTTCACAGGACTCCAGCTCCTCCAGAGGCGGGCACTCCACACCTTGGCCTACAGAGAACTGCAGCACCTGTCTTCTCCGTGTTCGGTTCCCCCTCAGAGACTCGGGGTCCACGCAGGTCTTGGAGCAGGAGCTCCACTCGGTCCACTCGGTCACCTGGCAGTCTTTGGGGAGGACGCAGGACTGGATGGTCAGCGGCAGGTCTCGAGGCATGCACAGGCTGGGAGGGGGGCGGGGCAAGTAAATAAGTTAATTTTACTTATATGCAGGGTTTCACATAAACGTTTTGGTCTGGTTCTCAGGGGAGAACCTAGGGTTGTTGCTTTGTGCTCACTCATATTTTCCTTCACTCATTTAACACATTTATCTAGAGGGGCGTCCAGGCTTCTAACGTCCCCCTGTTCTGTTTTATGACTCCTATCAGCTGCAACGTCTCAGGACATCATGTCAAATCAGTCCACCGAGTTTTTATTTTATTCTTTTACTCTGCATAAATTTTGTAAACTACCTAAGTGTCCGAGGGGCTGGGTGTATGTCATATAAACATCACAAACTGAACATTTCATGGTTAAATGTCTTTTAGACTACACATGTCCCTTGGATGGACAGCTCCTGTAGTTTGACCTTCTGCATCTTCAGCCTTGGTTAAACCAGCTTTCCACACTCTCCAGACCAAGCAGCAAATATCTGTCTTTCACACAGAGCAAAATAACTTAAACATACAAATGTTTTAATTGTTAGACTGATTTATTTTTTAAAAGACTATTTTATTCAAAAATATTATATTATTTAGATGGTTTGAGCTCATATAATTATTTATTCTTCATATTTGATCGTTTAATAAATTACATTTATCCCCGAAAAGCTGTATCACATTATGATCCTAAATATAAATAAGCTTAGCACATCAAGAACCTTGTTTTTTTGTATAAAATTGTGAATGAAATTTGTGAATCTTTATGATAAATCAATATGAGATTTAAAACTCTTTCACCTAGAGAACATGGCAAGTTTTTAATTTTTAATATATATAATTTTTTTGACTGGGGTGTTAAACAGAGAATCATTTTTGCTTTAATATGGGACAAACAAATGTTCTGTTAGTTAATGTGGTTTAATTAGAAAAACTCAGTGAATCTCACAGAGAGCCTGCGCGCGCAGCGACGTGCTCATACAGCAGTCTCTCAGGAGGAGAGTTCAGTCACTCACACAGAGTTGGACAGATCTGTTCAATAACAACATTCTGAACATATATTTAATAAAAAGTTAGGTTTTACAGACCAAAGTCTCTGGTAGTTCAGGAGCAAAGTGCAGGAGGAGATGTGACTGATAGCTGCAGCAGCTCGAGTCGACTCGAGCATGTCCGCTGCTTCAACCAAACATGCTCTCACTGAAAGTCCCGCCCTGCTCTGCTCTGATTGGACAAAACGGCTCTGGACTTCATCTGATTTGTTGAAGGCAGTGTCCGTTTAATCCTTATATCAGGGTCTAGCTGTGGAACAACGATCCATTCACACCAGTGCAGCTGGATTCTTTTTATTTTTTTTTTTAATTTTTTAAGAAATCAGGTCGCTTTTGCAACCACACTTGTCGCACTCTAGAGCCCTGCTAGCTGTTGTTTTGACAGACAATCAGGTACAATCTTAGGTACGCAAGGGAGCTTTAGGACATCCCATCTGGTGCGCTTTTTCCTTTTTTGATTGCGCAAGCGCACCTGCGCACCGGTTATGTGCACCTCTGCTTATATGGCACCTTTCATAGATAAACATCACAAAGCGTTTTACATATAAATCAATCTTCCAACAAATTCTGACCTGTTGACCTCAGGAAGAWGAACGCAGTTTTAGCAGGTCAGCAACATACTGGGGGGCCTGACCATGCAGGGCCGTAAATGTAAGAACTTAAAATGAATTCTAATATTTACTGGCAATGAAGAGAAGCCAAAACTGGAGTAATGTGTGATCTTCTAGTGGTGCCCGTTAAAAGTCTTGCTGTAACATTTTGCATGGTCTGAAGGTGATCCAAAGCAGATTTATTTAAACAAGTTAAAATACAAAAATCTAAACATGACGTGATAAAAGCATGGAATTGAAGGAATTATTGGGGTTTAGGTTATATACTGATTTTAATTACACTACACATGGTATAGTTTTATGATAGAACTGTAATGATTGTTAAATGTGACTGTTTTGCTAAACTTGATGATTTTTTATATTAATAGCTACATGCCTGAAAACACCAGCAGTCTAGGTTTAGAGATGTTCCTAAGGTTATAAAAACAGTTCCTAACTGTTTAGAGTGATGATTAAACAACATCAAAGAAGACACACAAGTTTCTAAAACTTGATTTATCAGAAGAGCCTTAAAAGCTAAGTAGTAGTCTCTGCAGTACATGTTGTCCTGTGGGCGGAGTTGGCCCTAATTGTGATTGGATCAAATTAATATGATCAAAATTAATCTCTATATTTAAAAATTATAGGTGTTTCCTGCCTGATTCAACCAAGCTGCCCCCTGCTTCTCCAAATCCCACCGTCAATCCGGCCAATCACGTCTTGGGCCAACTCCTCCCACAAAGTAAGAAACTCCTACTTAGTGACTGCAGAGACCTCCTTCTCTAAAAAGCCAATGTGTTTTCTGATATCTGGGATAACTTTGTCTGGGGCTATTATTAAAGTCTCAGTTGTCTCGTTTAGCTGCAGAAAGTTATCATTTAAATGTTTCTTGATATGAGTATTGCATTTTTGTAAACAAGATAATTTAAGAAATTTAGAAACAATAAATCTGAATGTCATCAGCATAAAGATGATAAGAAATGTCATTGTGCTGTCTAGGAATTTGGCCAAGAGGGAATACCGTATGTACAGTAAAAAGAGAATTGGACCCAGAACAGACCCCTGAGGTACCCCACATGGCAGGTCAACTGAATTTAACATTACCGAAAAAGAAACAATTCCTGAAGCCTGTTCATCTAGATGCTATGGTCAACAGTATCGAAGACAGAGGAGAGATCCAGTAGAACCAGAACTGTATACTCTCCAGAATCCGCAGGTCAAGATATGGTAAAAATTCCTACTTTTAAATATAAATCTCTTTTATTGAAACTGGGATACAGTTAGAAGTATTTCTCAATCTTCAAGGTACACAGTAACAGACTTGTTAAAAAAATTAATTATCTCAACAAGTGCTGCAGAATCCTTTAATGCTCCATTAATTTAAACTGGACAAAAACAAATCTAAAACACTACATCTCAAGGATTAGGACTGAGAAACAATGTGGATAAGATCCCATTAAGACCTTACAGAAGCCTGTGTAAACAGAAGCTTGCTCTTTTTACGCCGCGATACAAATTAAAGATTAAACACAAGATGCAAACAAGATAATGGATTATTTTATATTCAGACTAAAGCAGGCTTGACATTTTCCTTCTCCCATTTGTACTGCAAACTGAGCTAATCATCTGCTGGCTTTACTTTCAGATAAGGAACAGAAATGATATTAAAGTATTAACACAAAATCATTTAATTTTTTTTAAACCAGCTTTTCGTGCAGGATTGCAAAGACCTGTGGATTACTGGGGTTCAACCTGGAGCTGAAAACCTGAAACTTTATCAATATTAAGGAGGCTATTTCTCTGAAAATGAGACATTTTCAGTTTGAGCTATTTTTTAAATTAAACGTACAATATTAATTTCACTTTAAGAATAAATTCAGATTCCGTGTATCAATAATTCAACTGTTAAAACGACCAAAACAGGCTCTGATCCATTGTTCGCCCACATCTTTTGATCATCCGAGGAGAAATGAGTAACCCGTTCTCCTCGGGTCCCTTTTCCAATCATTAGAAATTTGTTCTAACCAAAGCCGGCTGTTTTCTGAAGCTCATTTTGGAAGTCTTTCCCCCTGAGGTGATGCAGCTGATGAGCTATTAGTGCTAATTACAGCTGTGCTTCATTTAGAAACCTCTCATTTAGGCGCTGCCACACTTCACCTCCAGCAGCTCAGATTTTGGGGATAAATCAGGAAACGTGAGCTGTGATTCTTTTTTATTTTTTATTTTTTATTTTTTTGTTTTCCTTTCCTCTAACTCCTGTGTCTTTGCAGATTAAAACACCTCTGCAGACTTTGAAGTGAAGCTGAAGCGACGCAGTGAAAAATCTCGGGTTTTGTTTTCCTGCCAAACGCACATGGGGGTGCTGGCTCGTTTTTGCCTTTTTGGAGGAAAACAATGAGAAATTTAAAACTGTGAATGAAACTCGCTGAGGGTGATGGCTCAATTTCTTGTCTCAGATGGAGRTTCTTGTGTTTTAAAAAGGCCCCCTAATGCAGCCGATGACCCATTTTTCTCTGCAGTCTTTGGATCCGTGGAGTCCTCGCCGTTTGTTGTGAGCATGCAGGGGCATTCTGGTATAGATTTCAAAGTTGCATAAGGAAGTTACTGCTTCATCTCAGTCATTCAGACAGAATGAGGACAATCAGGTTCTGTTTAAATAAATAAGTCGATGCAGAGAAAAGGCTCATTTTAAAGCCTTTAGGTTGCACAGTTACTCCCAGCAACTGAGGGGAAGAGCTTGGAGACCAGATCCAGGCTGTCAGAGTCTGCCAACATTTGCACATGCATTACTTGGAACTGCACTGATAAAAAAAAATGGTGGAAAAAAAAATACTGACACTGTAGGATAACTGCTGAAAGAGAGGCTAACTTTTACAACCGTGAAGAACTTGAGTGAAAAGGTAGTAAAATATCATGTTCTGCAACACAAACGTAAAGTTATGAGAGCAGCAAGCAGATCTGATCAACAAGGACAGAAACAGGAAACTCTGTTTGAGGAAAGGTGCCTGTTTGGGACAAATTCAGGGACTTTGGAGGAAGAAGCGTCCCGATGACAGATGCTCATCAAACAAAATGAGAAATGAAGCGAGCAAGATGTTTGGAGTTTGGCTAGGAAACCACCAGCTCTGGGAAGTTTGTTCCACTTTTCCACAAGTCGCAAAAAATAAAAATAAATAAAATAAAAACAACCATAAATAATTCAGAGCACCAAATAAACGAGTCAAGGATTAATATTTATGCTCCTCGGGGCATGCGAGTTGTTTTCGAGGTTCCGTAAAAAATAGTTGATGTCAGTCACTGGTGAAAGCCCCACACTAACAAAGCATTAATGAATTGATTTAGTGCATAGCTGATCAAAACTCACAATGTGTGCGACAGGACTGTAGAACTGAGAAAAGCTTGCACTGTTGATGCTGACACTGATTCTTTTCTGAAGATTACAAACCTTGTGAGAGACTAAAACCAACCAGAAGCAACAAAAACATTTGAGTTACAGAAAAAAATAAATACAATAGTTGTAGTGATAAAAACAACTCAACAGAATAATTATCTTACATCTGCGGAGCACCAAAATAAAATATTAAAAAATGTTACATTTTCATGTTTTAGCTCACTTAGAGAGTAAAATCCTAGTTGGAATTTTTCCACTTACATTTTATTGTTATTAAAGCCCGTCACATTATAACAATTTAGAAAACTTACAATGAGAATTTGTTTTGGATATGGACATATATCTCGATTTACCGGTCGATCTACGTTCCTACCCTCATCTWTGGTCATGAGCTTTGGGTCATGACCGAAAGAACGAGGTCCCGGATACAAGC